CTAAAAATTAAATTGAAGGAAAATGATCACAAAGAAAATTATTCAAGAAATAAATAAAATAAAAGAAAAAAATACAAATCTAAAAAAAATTAAACCGAAAATAAAATAAACAAAAGAAAAAAATATACGGAAATTTTTTTATTTATATGTTTTTTTAATAAAAGAAAAGTACAAATCTAAAAATTAATACGAAAAGAAAAATATGCTGCAAAAATAAATAAAATAAAATAAATGTTTTTTTGTTTTTTATCTGAAATAAAAGAAAAAAATGAATCTAAAATTTAAACCGAAAATAAAATAAAATAAACAAAAGAAAATCATGATGCAAGGAATAAAATTAAATAAAATAAAGAATTTCTTTTGTTTTTTTAATCTGAAATAAAAGAAAAACACAAGCCTAATAAAACAAAAAAAATCCAACAAGAAATTAAAATAAAGAAAAAAATAGATCTAGAAAGAAAAGGGAAGAAAGATAATACTATAAAAATAAATCAAATCTAAAAAAATTAATAAAAAAAATTTGAAAATCACTATTCTACCAGAAAAGGAGTTCGAAAATAAATTTATGAAAATTAAAAATAAAATGGAATGACTACACCTGAAACGCAATCCAATTTCTCTTCTCTTCTCTTCCGTCCCGTAGTCCCGCAACGTTCTAGTACCCCACCTTTCGCTATTCCATTCTGCAGAATCAAAGGAAAACAAGAACTAAACTGAGATAACGGATCAAGTAATAAAACGAAAAAGAAAAAATAATGAAACATATACGGAAAAAGTAAATAAAAAATTTTCTCCGTGCTTCCCTGGCAACGGCGCCAAAAACTTGGTGTGTTCGGAAGCGCGTCGTTAAACACCCCAGAACACCAGTTTAAACATTTATAATTTTTTCCGTTTCTCAAACAACTACTAATGTAGTAAATGGGTGAGAACGGGTTGTATCCACATGGAAGCAAGTGAAAAATTAATATATGCTTAGATCCAGACAAGAGAATACAATCGAGAATTGCAGAAAATAAGAAAATATAATCTATTATTGCTGAAATTAAATGTTTCGAATTTAAACAAGATAATAAATAAAAATCAAAATTTAATAAAGTATGGGAATCAACAAAGGAAATAAAAGAAATAAATAAATAAATGATCTAGAATCCAGATTCGGTGGTGGTTGTTGCAAATCGACCAAACAGCTTGTAAAAACCCCTCCTGACAAGAACCAAGCATCTGCCCTTTCTACAACCCTCGAACCCCTCGAGACACCTTAGCCTTGAATCGAACGAATTCAGATCTGCAAAACAGAGAAATGAACAAGAATTAAATCTAAAAGATTGCAGAAACAAAAATAACAGAAAAGAAAATAAAGAAAAGAAAAGAATGATTTATCAGATCTATTGGCAGTAGTTGCAGATTAGTTGAACAGTTTGTAGGAACCCCTCCTGACAAGATCTGGGCATCCTCCCCTTCTACAACCCTTGAACTCCTTAAGAAACCTTAGACTTGTTAACTGGGTGAATTGACCAACCCCTTCTACAGGGCCCCTGGGACCATTTTTATAGAGAAGGGTGGATGCAACTGGAAATAGGGAGAAAGATGGGGGACGACAGCTGAGATTTAGAAAAGTTAGGGACAGCCTAGGGTTTCTAATGGATGGCTAAGATGGTTTTGGGGTGATTCTATGGCTGAAAATAAAAGGAGAGGGCGCCCAATATTATGTAGGGCTGAGATTTGGGCGCCTAGAAATGGGGGTTGTAGATTATAACATCTAGGGTTGAAGAGTTAAGATTAAAAGAATAGGTGGTGCCGTAGATTGAATGGTTGGAATATAAGATGGAGGCAGTGGTTGAAATTTGGAGGTGAGGGGCTGAATGGTGAGGATTAGCAGAATAGGTGGCGCCCTAGGGTTTAAAAGTTATAAAGGTGAGCCCTAAAATGAGTGGTTGAAATTAAAAGAGGTGGAGGGTAGAGATTAAACACCTAGGGGTGGCTAGGGTTTGCTAAGAGTGAAAAGATTAGGTTAAAAAGGCTCCCTAGGGTTTGCTATGGAGAGGGGAGTATGGTAATACAATAGGATGGGCGCCAACTGGGTTTAGTAGATAGGAGGCACCCTCCTATTCTCAGTTCTTTACAAAAACATCCTCTCTCTCTGTTGGTATTCACACCAGCTTCCCAAAAACTGCACTTCAGCTTAGAAAACTTTCCAGTTTTCTACATAATTTGCATAGAGACCCTCAGAGGTCACATAATTGAATTTAACTGGGAAAATAGTACACTTTGACTATTTAAGGCCAAAAATACCCCTGAATTGATGCCCTTAAGGTATCAAAATGCAGGGTTATCATAATCCCATCAAGGGATGCTCAAATTTGCTGCAACTATTATTGCAACAAAATCTTGTGACAACATAATAAAACATGGATGCTAATCCGATTGTTCTAAATTTAAATTACCTTGGATAGATTATTTGGAACCAATATCTTTTCCTCTAAAAACAGTGCCACGCCATGTCAAATTTGCTTTTTGAATAAACTTTCATGGTAAAAAGTGAAAACGGGGAAAGATGTGGTATGAGAAAATGTACTTGATGAGGGGTAATTTGGCCCAACTTATCATCTCTCGGACACGTGGAAGTAACCTACTGATTGGATGACAACTTGGCATCTCATGCCACCTCAGCGAGCTAAGTCAGCTCGGGTACCTCGGGCACCTCGGCCAAGACCAAGGTTCGAGTAGCTCGTGAAGGCCCGACCTGCCGAGGTGACACGTAGCCAACTTCTAGAAGTTAGCTAGCTGTCTCCGACCTCTTCGGGATCACGTCGTACATCCGCAAGCCTTATCCTCATCATGCTTGGATTGGACAGACTCGATAAACCTTATTAGCTCACATGAAGTCCACCTCCTGGAGTGGAACAAATTCCTAATAGTACGGGCTGTGGATCTCGGAGGCGTTTTGTAAGGCATACGACAACTCACCTATATAAGGTTACCAACACCGACACTATAAGGTACGCACGATTTATTGCTCACTAGCCTACTTGTAATTAAGCATTTAGCTCGCATACCAGATTACTAACTTAAGCATCAGAGTGCCCACACTGGGAAAGCTACCACGGGTTCTCTGAGCATTGTTTTCCTTGCAATTCGACTAGTCAACAAAGCAACCGATGTCTGAGCTGCCCTCCAACTAAGAGCATCCAAATCACGCACCATCAATTGGCGCCGTCTATGGGATCCGTACATAAAAGATAAGTTCCTACTTTCTTTTACTTTCAGCGAAATTTTGACGGCTTCCTCAAGCACCAGAAAGAATGTTGAGATGCCCGCCACCAGGGGGCAAGATCAGCCAGCTATCAACCCAGAGGTCCCCTCAGTGACCATCGAGCAGATGACAGTGCCTGATGAGAATAAAAATTATCATATTTTTATCCCTCAATATTCAGTCTTTTATACTTAATTAGTACCCAATTGGACTCACTATTCTTCTATTTCGATTTACGGCACGGAAGAAGGCGTTATGGGAAAAATAAGGCTAATTGGGTAATTTTACACAGTTTCGGCACCACGAGATAATTTTGGCATAACTCTCCCATCCGGACTCTGATTGAGATGATTCAAGATGCATTGGAAATACAAGGAAAAACTCTACAACTTTTATGTTTTGAGTTTTGATAGATTCAGATTGAATCGAGGTCAAAATCGGGCCCGAATTCTAAGCAAATTCGTAGAGAAGCCCAGTTCGCAGTTGAAGCCCATTTTGCAGTTGATGCCCAGTTCGCAGAGAAGCCTTGCAGTGGCCCAATTTGTTAAGGAAGCCCAATACGAATGCAAGAATAAGAAACATCAAAGAGACCTATCAGATTCAATTTTCTGTTGTACTTTTAAAAAGATAAAAGAGATTAGGATTACCAGTTAAGAGATAGGAGTAGATTAGATCTAATCTAACCATTATCTATTAGAGAACTGATCCCCCAATGCAGAAAGAACTCCTTAGAGGAGAAGGAGACAACTCCCTCCTAATTCTATATAAAGGGGGGGGGGGGACTAGCACCTAGGGCCATCATCAAATCCTCCAAGAGAGCTTTAGCCCTTAGAGAAAGACATCAACAACCAAGGAGGAAGAAGCAGAGTTCGCCCCCTCTCATCTGGAAGCTGCGATTTCATCATGGAGTGTCTGTAAGTTTTTATTTTTGATTGAAGGGTTAGGGAATCTTTGATTCTTTAAACATTGTGAGATCTAATTGATTCTTATGTCAGTTCATTGTTTATGGGTATTCATATGTTTTCTGCGATTAATTGTGAGGATTATTTTTATTGATTAAGCAAGAAGGGCCCTTTGTTCATTCAATGAAAATAATCTATGGCTGATTGAACCTCCAGTTTCGTATATGATTGGTAGGTTCAATCATGGTGGCAACTAATAGAAATTGACTGCAAAAAATTTTTTTATCTATGTTAGGAAAATGTATGATCTGGTTTAAACGGTCCGATCTTGTGAGATCGCTGACCAGAATTGGGTCTCTCCCCTCTTAATGCTATTAATAGATTAAATCCTAAGAGCTTGTTTAGGATTGTCTATTAATAAGAGAAGCAATCAAAGAGCTTGTTTTGGTTGTCGAATAATACGAGTTGAGGTTGACCGTTAGAGCTTGTTAATGGCTATAACCAATTTATTCATAAACATATGAATCTATCTTTGCATCGAGGATCAATGATAAGAATCAAAGCTGAACTTGTCCCTTCAACCGGAAGCTATCTCCCATCGATTTAATCTTTTGCTTTCTGTTATTTTCTATTATTTCCTTGTTTTCCTTAGCTTTACAACCCCCTTACTTCGTTTACTTGGAAATAAATCCACCCAATCCTTGTGGAGACGTCCTTGCTCATCACTATCTACAAATTATTCGAGCAAGACTATTTATCTTTGGTTGGATTTGACACCCACCAAATTTTGGCTCCGTTGCCGGGGATTGGTGTCCTAAGTAGATTTATTTCCTTTTGCTTGGTTTATGCCTCATTTTTCTCGTGTAGGTGAACTCCACTACGATCACGAGATCGAAAACATAGTTTGCCGCTTGAGGAAAGAAGCCAAGCAACGTCGCAACCAATCAGCATCACTCCCAACTCCCAGAGTGAAGTCAGCTGCAGAGATTGTTGAGCCATCTAACCATCTTGAAGAAGAAGTCATGGCCAACAACGAAGGGAGAACTCTAAGAGAGCTAGCTGCACCGGGTCTGCACCAACAACCTCTTTGCATCGAATATGCAGATCTAGCGGTACCTTTCGAACTCAAATCTGGTCTTATACACTTACTTCCTACTTTTTGTGGACTTTCAGGTGAAGATCCCCACAAACACTTAACAGAATTCCATGTAGTATGCTTAAGCATGAAACCTCAAGGTATTACCGAGGAACAAATCAAGCTGCGTGCCTTTCCTTTCTCATTAGATGATAAAGCTAAGGATTGGCTTTACTACTTACCCTCCAGTTCTATCACCACATGGAACGATGTGAAAAGGCAATTTCTTGGAAAGTTCTTCCCTGCCTCCCGAACTGCTAACATCAAAAAGGAGATCTGTGGTATAAGACAATTCAGTGGGGAAACTCTCTACGAATACTGGGAGAGATTTAAGCAACTCTGTGCCAGTTGTCCGGAACATCAGATTCCAGACCAGCTCCTTATCCAATATTTCTATGAAGGGTTATTGTCGATGGATAGGAGTATGATTGATGCAGCAAGCGGAGGTGTGTTGGTGGACAAAACTCTTACCCAAGCAGGAGAATTGATCTCGAATATGGCGGCCAACTCTCAACAGTTCAGCTATAGGTTCTACCCTCCAGCAAACCATGCTAATAAGGTAAACATCTCTCCCCTAGAACAACAAATTGCAAGTCTGACCTCTCTTGTCCGTCAAATGATTGTAGGTAATATTGAAATGGTGAAGGCTTGCGGGATTTGTTCAACTACGGGACATCCAACCAACATGTGCCCTACACTTCAAGATGAACCCTATGAACAAGCCAATACTGTTGGAGGCTTCTCACAAAAGAGATACGTTCCCTACTCAAATACCTACAGTGCAGGATGGAGGGATCATCCTAACCTTAGCTACGGAGCCAAGCCCTTCGACTTCCAACAACAATATCAGTCTAGACCACCGGCTCCACAATATTCATCGTCTAACCCAGGTATGTCTCTAGATGAAATTGTTAAAGAACTTGCAACTAACACTCAACAATTTCAACAAGAGACAAGGACAAACATCCAAAACTTGGAGAATCAGGTCAGCCAATTGGCAACTGCTATGAGTCGAATGGAATCTCAAGTATCAGGAAGGCTACCCTCCCAAACCATGGTCAACCCAAAGCAGAATGTTAGTGCCATCACCTTGAGAAGCGGAAATGAGCTGAATAGACCTAGCAAGGAAGTGCTTAAGAATACAACTGAAGAGGAAATAGAAAAGGAAGCACTGCCACCCCAAACTCAAGATCCAGGCGGTAAAAAGCCCTAAGCCATAGTGATCCCTCCACCTTTTCCTAGTCGATTTGCAAAATCCAAGAAGGAGGAGCAAGACAAGGATATTCTTGAGACATTCCGCAAGTTGAGGTAAATATTCCCCTCCTTGATGCAATGAAGCAAGTACCCCGCTATGCTAAATTCCTCAAGGAGTTGTGCACCACTAAAAAGAAGCTGAAAGGTGATGAAAAAGTCCACATAGGGGAAAATGTTTCAGCAATCCTCCAAAAGGAATTACCTCCTAAATGCAAGGATCCAACACAAGAAGCTTTTGATCTTGATGGGAAGGATGTATTTGAAATCTCCATTAGTATGCATCCTGAGAAAGAGGAGTTAACTTGGAGTTCTAAATTGCAAGAAACTGTTGCATTATTGAATGGTTCTCCAGAGTTACAACAGTCAGGTAATGCTCCTTATATTACGTTGCCGATTCCTGACAAGAAACCTGTACCCTCTGTTTTGCAGGCCCCTATTCCAGATTTGAACCCACCCATGATAGATGAAAGGAGAAGACATCAAAAGTTGTAACTACGAGACCTGGAGGATCCGGTTTATGATTAAAAACAGGGAAGTTTGTTTCTCCTTTTCTTTCTTGTTTTTTTGCATTTATAGTTAAGTTATTTCCACCTTTTTTTTTACCTTACATTGAAGACAATACGTAGACTAAGTGTGTGTGTGTGGGGGGGGGGAGAGTATAGGATTTTATTTAAGTTCAAATATATATATATATATATATATATATATATATATATATATATATACATCAAATCCTCAACTCTTTTGAAATCAATTGAAACAATATTTTGGGAAAATTCTTGTGGACCTAGTAATGAGGTACAATTAAGGAGTACACGACCTTTCTGAAGCCATTCCCTTTTAAGCTAGTCCAAAATTCAGGTTTAAGTAAACAAGGCAAATATTTTACCATTGCTACAATTGGTAGGATGGAGCATAAAATGCCCCTACCAGGCAAGTCATCTGATAGTAGGACGGAGCATAAAATGCACCTACTAGCTAGCAATTCAAACAGTAGGATGGAGCATAAAATGCACCTACTGACTAAGTAATCCAAAAGTGAGATGGAGCATAAAATGCACTCACTTTTTTAGAGGAGAGAAAAAGAAAATAAAAAGAGAGAGAAGATAAAAAGGTTTTCCCTGATTTACTACCTGTTTGCAGTAGCAAAAATTGGATTGACTGATGAATGAGTCGTGTAAGACTTGGTTGTGTTGATTTAACGGTTTTCAATAGTTAACCTAGAATATTTGTGGAGAAAGATGAAGGAGAGTTGAGTTTAAAAATCGGTAGGATAGTTAGTTTGTTCTTATTCTATTTTTGCTTGAATTTTGTCTTGCCTGAGGACGGGCAAGGTTTAAGTGTGGGGGGATTTGATGAGAATAAAAATTATCATATTTTTATCCCTCAATATTCAGTCTTTTATACTTAATTAGTACTCAATTGGACGATTTAGGGCACGAAAGAAGGCGTTATGGGAAAAACAAGGCTAATCGGGTAATTTTACACAGTTTCGGCACTATGAGATAATTTCGGCATAACTCTCTCATCCGGACTCCGATTGAGAAGATTAAAGATGAATTGGAAAGATAAGGAAAAACTCTACAACTTTAATGTTTTGAGCTTTGATAGATTCGGACTGAATCGAGGCCAAAATCGGACCCGAAGTCTAAGAAAATTCATAGAGAAGCCCAGTTCGCAGCTGAAGCCCATTTCGCAGAGAAGCCTTGCAGCAGCCCAATTCGTTAAGGAAGCCCAATACGAATGCAAGAATAAGAAACATCAAAGAGTCCTATCAGATTCAATTTTCTATTGTATTTTTAGAAAGATAAAAGAGATTAGGATTACTAGTTAAGAGATAGGAGTAGATTAGATCTAATCTAAGCATTATCTATTAGAGAACTGATCTCCCAATGCAGAAAGAACTCCTTAGAGGAGAAGGAGACAACTCCCTCATAATTCTATATAAAGGGGGGGG